ATTATATCCCAAAGAGGCCTAAGCATGCCCACATTATGGGTCTTCAAGTAATACTATTACTGAAAGTTTGCAATACAGGAGCAATAAAAATAATTTATAAATAAACTATAACTTTTCGAAATGAATATTAAAATACTTTTCATACTTAAGAACGAACATATTATTTTTTAAATCTAAATGGAGGTCGCTAACGAGTGGGGGTTCTAATCACTTGCTTAGCCTGCTTTTGCATTAATCCACCTCTGGACGACGTACCTGTCGTGGCCTCCGCAGAATCACCAGGGGATTTGGTTTAACGCACGACGCTCCGAGAGCAGAGAGGTGTGTTCCAGAGGGAAACGCGTAACGCCGCGGTGGCTCAGGAAATTCCGCGAATCGCAGCGGAGAGCCGTGGCCGGTGCGGCTGGGACAAGGTGGAGCGAGGAGGGAACGGCCGGGATGGAGTGGGAGGTCTGAAGAGGCGGGGATGAGAGAGATGCGGCGGAGTGGCCGAGGCGAGGCGGGGAGGGAAGGAGAGGAACGCAGAGAGGAAGCTTGGAGTGGGTATGATGAAGAGGAGCTTTCGGGACGCAGTGGGATGGGCGGGAACTGTTGGATTCGGACGCAATGGGCAGGGAGTAATTGAACAAAGCGGGTAGGAAGAGTCAGGGCAGGGCGAGGAGGAGTGGGCGAAGAAGGGAACAGCGAGCGGAGCTGGGATCAGTGGGTGGAGCGGGGAACAGCGAGCGGGACGGGGAGATTCGGCCGAGGCTTGGCTGGTGGAGCGGGCGGGGCGGGGAGTTGGAATCGTTCGGAGCGACTATGGCGGGTAGGAGAGTTCGGAGCCGGGCAGGGCACGGCAGGGCGGAGCGGGGTAGGCAAAGGTGGGGCGGTGCCGCAGTGAGCGTTCGCCGCAGAGGGCGTTTGCTGCGAGCATCGCCCCTGCTGATTACCGGGAGAGACCCGGACAAGCGCATGCAGACTCAAACGACATTCTGCACTTTGTTTGGCTCAATCGACGAGGCTCTCCCTTGAAGCGTTGGTGGGTACTTGTTCGCTCATGCATGTGCAGTTAACCATTCTCTTTTGTTCACTTCAGAACAACCTATTCCTATTCTCGTAATTGAAAGCGAAACTGCTCTCGTATCTACGAGATCTCGTAGTATAAACTTCCCTACACACTTTTTTGAAACTGTATCTCATAAAATAAATAAGATAAATTTATTTGAACTGCAAATGGGCATAACCCGGTGGCAGCTAATTACATAAATAAAATACTACAGCCAACTGGCAAATTATATAATAATAATATAATAAAATAATAATGATAATAAAAGTAACATTAATAATAAAGATAATAATGATATAAAACTGTCTAATTCATAAAACATTTAAATTTACCTTAAAAAAAAGAAACATAATCAAACTTCGCACTGCATTTTTGTTCAACTGCACTTCACTACACATCAATTCACTTCTCTCTATTTTTCACCATGACCCTTTAATGACAATAATAATAATAATAATAATAATAATAATAATACATTCAGTTATTCAACTCTTAAAAATAAGGGCGTGGTATCTTTTGTAGATGATTAAACTATTCTGCGAAAAGTAGGGCGTGATTTCAAACTTTTCTGTGGGGTTTACCCTGCTAAAGGTACAAAATGCATAATCTAAACAGTCGTTATTCAGAATCTAAATACCCATATTCAGGCATTATTTTCAATATTTGAAAGGATACAATTTAACATACTAACAGTTGACAATAGATAAATATAAACAACGCTGGAAAATATTATATTGAAATCGAATGGACAAGATTCTCTTCACTCTTGAATACCCGATTACACTGATTCAGTCAGTGAAATAAAATATGTTTCTCAGTGTTTTTGAGAATGATCGCGTCAATATTTTGAATAGAATAAGTTTGTTTGTTGTTTTCTTTGTTCCTTTTGAATTATATATTTACGGACATTCTATTTCTTCTTTCAACTTGAAATATACGTTCTACGCAAGAGCGCGCCAGCTCCTACACTTCTCATTATTTGAGATGGCACATACCACTGCAATGCAAACGTCGAGGGCACGATGGAATACCCGTGGGAGAGCCGCCGGAGCTTATGATCGTGACATTAAGTGCGTGGCGCAACAAATGACAGCTGAGTGAACTCGATAAATGGGCGCCCGAATCTGCGCGACGCGTTTGAGCCGCCGCAAGCCACCAGCAGCCGTCACCCCACACCCCTACACCCGCCTCCGCCAGCGCCGCCGCCGCCACCGTCAGAAAGCCAGGGGTTGCGCCTGCGCTAATGAATATCAGTCGCGAGAAGTTACGAGGTTCTAGGCCTGGGCTGGCATTAGCCCACCGCAGCGTGGATGCGTCAGGCATGCTAGTTTGGGTGTTGGAGGGAGAACATAAGTGACATATGTTTGTATTCTCATTATAACTCACCCATCGAAATAATTAATTTGTTTCGTTACTTTAAATTTCGACGCTGTTTTGTTTGGAGATATGAATTGATTCTTTTGTTTGGAGACATGAATTGATTCTTGGCAGAAAACTGACAGCTGTTTCCAGTACATATTCTAAATGTGATCTTTTTCCGCAAATTTTCTATTTTTTCATGTTTTGACAGAGCAAGTTCAAAATAGCCTCCTTTGTTAGTAGAATCAGTGACTTTACTTTAATTCCAAGCAGAAAATTATTACGAGCTGAGATTCAATTACACAAAAGATAGTAGATATTGCCAGAAAACACCACCTTCAACTAATACTCATCTTTGGAGACGGGTCGGATAATTTTACTGTATTTTAGACAATCGGCCATTTCTTCCGATTTCGTCTCAGAACTGGAACAGTCTGCTGACGTAACCGTCGCAGCCAACGCAGTCTCCAAAAAAATGTTTGATGAAGCAGCAGACGGAAATTTTTAATGATCGAGGTACTACTTACCTTACTTCTCTTCAAAAGAAAACCACTTTTTATTCCTGATTCGCCCATACCCTGCAGACTGTTATGATTCGGAATTGTTGAACACGGCGACTGTTTATGTGTACTTATATAATTATAAATAAACCAATTAGTCCTAAAATATTATATTACAATAATAATAATTTATTCTTTGCCTATAAAGAAGTTTCCGAACTAAGTTTTCTACTTTTGGATATCGCTTTGATGTGTCGTTTATTTGAAATCTGGTCTAGTGTTCTTTCTTTTAAGATACTGTGGAAGTAGAAAAAATGGACGTCATCTCAATATATTTACTTCATGTTTTTGGGACAACTCAGGAAATAAACACAGGTTTTCGTGACAAATTGGAAACATCTGAAAAATGCTCAGCAACTTCCAAATCATTTCATTATATGTTGGATATATTAAATGTTTTAAAGTTTTAAAATATGATCTTGGCATTATTACTTTCAATGTAAAAGACACGATTTATAATGTAAAATATCATGTTCTCAGTTCTTCTATTCCAATTAAAATTAACTAAACTACGAAAGTTTATAAAATGCCGATCTTCCTTTTTAGTAAAGCAGATTAGCAATAATCAGTCAGTTTAAAACTTTAGTTTTGGTGTATCATGAATTTAAAGCGTTGAGTCGTTGTGCCAGACGGTAAACATTATTATATTAATTATTGTAGAAGTTAGGTATATGTAAAATAACTTTTATTATTTTTCATAACGACTCAAAAGTTTAAATTGACTGTAACTCAAACCTGAACTTTTGAACGTGGAGAGGTTTGTTTAAATAAAACTTGGTCTGTCAATATGCGAAACGCAGCCAGATTCGTATTGGTGTCAGAGTTGTGGGATACCCAGGCGCATTTCCTCATGGATTATTCGTGTTCCGCCTCGGCAGCTCGTGATAGGCCGGCTGGGCGTCTCGCGCGTCGCCGCTTTCTTTGCCCAGAAGCGGGGGCGGTGTCAGTGGCGGAGACCCGAGTCTCGGTTGCTAAAGGGCTCGACACGGGGTGGAGCTCAAAGCGAAGTCGAGGATCCTGCGTAAGACGAGAAGATTAGCAGCGAGGGCCTGCTAACTCCCCTCCGCAGTCCCCTTCGACCCCGTCTCCTCGCGGTCGGCCGTCTCTGTTGGAGGATACGGGCAGGGAGAGAGCAGATGAAGAACGAGGTGGGAGGGGTGGTGGTGGGACAAGGCGGATGGCTGGGGATAGGCTGAGGGCAGGCGAGGTTTCGAGTGGTCGCGGCGGGTCTGAAGTGGGCACGCTAATACGAACTAGGATGGGGAAGATAGGGCAAGGATCGATTGGTTGATTAGTGATTTCGGGCGCGTCAACTGCTAATGTCAATGACCAGTAAGTGTAGTACGTACTTTATCGTGGGAGGTGGCGGTAATTTTTCCCCAGCAAGTTTGCAACCCTGTTGAGATCCGGCGCCGACCTGCGTCGGCTTGCGGGGATTTTCCCAACCAACTATCTCCCTCCAGTGTGGCAACGCCCCAGCCGGGACAAGCTCGAAGCTCCCTTCTCGACCGGGAAATATCGGGTCGTCAGAGAGGTAGTGAGTGGCGAAGGGGGTGGAACGGTGCGAGGAGGGGTGAGATGTGATGAGGCTTTTATGGAAGGAGACGAGGGAGGAAGGTAGATACAAATCGTGTGCAAGATGGCGTACATTTGAGATGAAGCGGGATGAGCTGGGATGGTTCGAGACGTGGCGGATTGGGGCTGGGCGAAAATGAGAAGGAAGGTTGGGCAAAACTGAAAAGGATCGGGATGGGTTGGGTTGGGGGAGAGGGTGAGGAAGTTGTATGGGACGGGGTGTTGGGGAAGGTTTTGGTGAGGAGGGTGGGCGAGGAGAGACGAAGTGGGGGACAGTGGGGAGGAATCAGTGGGGACGGGGTGGGGCAGGGCGATGGTTTTAGAAGTAAATGACGAGTGGGCACGCGTGCGGCGGAAAGAGAAGGAGCGGGACGATCCCGGGCGGAGAGCGGGCTGGGCGAGTCGGGGAGGGAGGGGAGGGGGGGGCGGGAGGCGTAGGCAGGCGGGGCGCTATTTGCATGGAAATTCCGCGCGGCGCCGCAGGGCGCGAAGAGGCGTGGCGGTTGGCATTCGCCAGGCGCGCTGGCGGCGGCTCCCGGGTCGCGGAGACGCACGCGGAGGATTGGCTTATCTGCATCGCAAGGCAGGAGCAGCGAGATTGGCAGATGGGACGTATTGCGGCTGGCATCGAAAATGTGCTTCCCGAGATTTCCTTCTCTATGAATATGTAAAACAAGGCTACCGTCAGAAGAATGTCGAATTCGGTCGGTGGGCGAAAACACAAACTGAACGAAAAAAATCGAGTGAAATTCCTGCATTTTTGGAAGCCGAAGAGACGCCCTTTCTCTTTCCATCATAATTCTGGATACCTCTTTACGAGATGGGCGTCCTCGCCTTTTAGACTCACCACTGTTAATAATACTTATTTCGATATTGCGTCCCCACACGTGAAAGGGGTATCCACGAAAATTAATCTGAACTAAGGTACCCCTTAAAAGAAAAGTAGGGTATCAAAGTATACTAGTACAAGTATACTAGAAAATAAATGTAATGATAAATCAAAAATGCATCAAAATGTATCATATAAGTATCAAAATATAACAAATCAACGAATCCTCAGCAGTGAAATGAATTAATCGTCTCATCTAAATTCAGAAGAAGGGATGCAATGTTGTCATCTCAAGAATAGTTTAGCTATATTCTCAGTTATTAAATAAACGTTAAAATGATTAGTTTCTCAGAAAGAGGTAAGTTTTTTATTAGGTTTATATACAGTTTTTAATATGCATATATTCAGATTTATTTGAAGTTAAGTAGTAGAGCTTAATGTCTTGAACTTGTGCAGTATAAACTTGTCGCTGACGCCTTATGACTCGCTTATGACGTTTGTTTTTGCAAATCGTTTCTTTGCAGTTTTCCTCGTATAGCGAACACGAGACATGTGAACAGCTAACAAGAATAAAGAAAATTAATTTTGAATCGCCACTGAATTTGATAAGAAATCCGGGAATCAGGAAAAACTTATTACAAAAATTACCATTAAAGAAAGAAACGAATTTATGTATTGATGCTGAATCTCAGTTTATCTACTTCTTATACTCTATCGTGTTTAAAAAAATCTGTATTTTAAGGTACGTAAGTAATAATAGCTTCTTCTAAATTCAATACCATGAAAATATTTATTGGAACAAGAACTCATTGAAAAACTGCGAACTTATATTTTCAGAGCAACGATCGTATTTAAAAGATGAAAATTGAAATATAAACGTTACTGAATTAATAAAATTTCATCAAATATCTAAAACGGTAATTCGTTTTGAAATTAAAGTATTTATTTCAAAACGAATTACCGTATTTAGGGTTCTGAAAAGTGAACGATTATAATAACGTCCGAAGAATGTAATTCTTTGCATCTCGCTTTTTTCAGAGCACCGTCAATCGTGACCGTATGTTTCCTTTACGAGAATCCTGTGCAGTATTTCGATTGGGCAATATGTGAAACGAACCACGCTATGCTACGAGTGCGCACACGGTCGGTGGCTAAGCCCGTGACTGCCATTACGGGGAGCAGCAGCCGAGAAGGGATTTGGCTGTTTCAGGTTAACTGGCTTTGGCCGACTGCGTGAAGGGAAAGTGCAGAAAGGAGAAATAATTGTAAGAGGCACATACGGACAAAGGGTGGACAATAAAAGCAGGGACACAGTTCGGTTGGTGAACTTGGGAATGAAAAAAATGGAGAGAATACAGATGCTGATGGCAGTACAAATGTGAAATAAAAAAGTGGTAGTATGAGGGTCGTATTTGGAACTTTGCCACTTGCTGCAACGTGTAAAAGACAAGGAAGAAAGTCATGTGTAGCGGCGAAGAGCCAGAAAAGTATGTATGGTAAGTCTGCTTGGCGTGTAGGTTAATGTATCACATACTAAATAAACAACTTAAATACTCGTGTGTTAAACGTCAAGTTTAAGACAATTACGAACTAAAACGTGATCAAAAGCAACTCATTGTGACAAAATTCATACGCCAATGCTCTAGCCGGTCAGGTTTTTCTGGTGAGAAAGTGTTATACAAAGAAACAAAAAGAATGTTTTTTGTCTTGTGTTCTGAGACGTCAACAGATTAGTCCAAGGGACTACAATATAACAAAACATTTCATAAAAACTATATGAATCTAATTTTCACGTGGTTTCTCGTTTTAAGGTTGTTAAATTTTAACTTTTCCTTGTTTGGAGATAATCCTATCTTTTGTGGATTTGAAGGTAGATAAATGTGTCTCACTACAAATGTATAGTTTATTTACGACGAATTTCAAACTCGCCAGTTGAATGTTTTCGTAAGTATTAAAACAGAAAGATTGCTTTACCTTAAGTCATAACTCCAGAGGTACAAATGTGACCGAAATATTAAATAGTAATTACAAGTTTTGTGAATCAAATGTTTCTTCTCTTAAAAATATATGCTATAATAAAAATTTGGACAGTGAAGCATTGATTAGAAAGCTACAGATAATTTCTTTATAATTCTAAAAATTTCAAAACCAATATTGTTTGAATATTTTTTTTGGAAATAAACGGTCTATACAATAGTGACAGACATGAAAATGACATTGAAAACAAAATACTGTTGATGATATTATTTTAAAGTTAAAGATTGAGAATATATCTCTTATATTTTAAAAAAATATTTAAACTACAAATATGTGCCTCGTCAACAGGCTGTTTTCTTGGGTATATACCTTAATTTTTAAAACATTCTTCTTATTGAATCTTTTGCACTACTAATATTATTAGTAATTCACATATTCATGCGATTTTCTTTATCTAAGGGGAAATCAATAATTTCCATGCATTCAAACTTAGAATTCGACTAATCTCCAAATCACTCGCATTAAGAAGTAAAAATGATATAAAAAAATAATAAAAAATCAATAAAGTTTCCTTTCCTGCGCCATCACTTTGTCCACCCCCAGTCTCGTATACTACACTCCGTCGGCTTCTCATTATTTCCCAGGACGACTGATTGTCTCGGCGGCAGATCAAACCTCGTCCTTCACAAGCGGCCCAAAACATTGACGAGAACAAAGGGAACCTTTGCCTCGCAGTCGTCGGGCGGAAATATAAGTTCACCAATTGTCCCCTGGCAATTTATTTTTAATAATGTCGCTAGTCTTTGATGTACGGTAGACATAGTTGACTCCAATATAGAGAAGACAAACAAATCGTAGAAAATGAACTTTGATTTGTGTTGAAAAAGAGGGACACTCACAATATCAAATATTCGAAGTGTGGTGTTGGTAATGAACAACGTTCGGGCATCTTCATAAAATTCATGCCACAAGCCTTTCAATGAGTAGAAAAATGAGCAAGAGACTTGTTCAATTTCAATTTCTAAAAACCCATATATATTTACAAATACTTATAATTGCGAGCACTGCATACGTTCCTACAATATATTCTATTTTAAAATACATAGAAATGAAAATAAAAATATGAGTTGAAACGTAACAAAAATGTTTCTTGAATTCATTTAATTTTGAATAGATCTTAATGGACATCCAGATGACATTTACAATAAAACTTTTAAAGACACAAAAAATTTAATGTGAATAGTGATGATTAAAATTAAACAATACAAAAGTTTTGTTAGGAATACAAATGCAAATACACCTTTGTATGTGGTAGAATTTGATTAATTAGAGGAGATTATTACACTAAGTAAAAGCTGTATTATGAAACACGTAAAAATATTCACACACAATACATATTAAAAACTTTAAGCAAATATACATAAAAAATAGGATTTTGTATGTTAAAAATAATCAGTGGCACTTCGAAGTTTATCTGAGTACAATGTAAGGAATTAAAATACCTGTCCTTTGAGATTAATTCAGTATTTACTCCCTTTTATGCTCAACACAGATGTACTGATGAGTAAAAACTACGTTCGTCAGGCAATATGTAGCTAACATCATTTCTGTATCTACCCAATTCCACGCATCTACTGCAGGATTAAATTTTATTCCTACAATTAACTGCAAACGTCTGTAATACCTGCGAACGCACAACCGAAACGTGCACAGTTTTAATCTCCCAATTTAGTGACGTGGAGCTTCATGTACCGATTTTGACATCTCCATCGCAGCCATAGCTGTCGACGTTCACGTTGCCGCGGGATAGAAATTTCGAGGAAATGCGAACGCGATATTGGGGATGTGGGCGGCGGTGCTCGAGATTCAATAATGCAGATGAGCTACCACTCTGCCAGAGGAATACGGCACATTCCCTTCCCTTACTGCATTCCCTTTCTGCTATCGACGATTCCAGAGACAGCGGTGGGAGTGGACCCCACAATTAGGCACAATGACGCCAATCTGCTTACACTATACTGAATAGAGAGTACTGCGTACGGAGTTGATGAATCAACAAGTGTTTTGGATTATATCTTAAATTTTTAATTATTAAAGAATTAAATCAATTTTTTAATTTTAAACAATTTGAGAAAATACCTATTATACTTCATCTTTATAGGACTGATCGTTGTCTTGCAGATAACGTTCGGTGTTCAATGTCTGTGCAATCGTTTTGCATTGGATTTGAACGTACCCAACGTCGTACCCAACATCGAGTTATACTGAGTTTTTCTAATTTTCATCCTAATCAAAATCACAAAAAGAATATGCTATTTGCATGAAGTAACTAACTTTCGAGCTACAAGCAGAAATTTTAAAATATATATAATATAAAATTGTTTTTTCATTTATAACTTGTAAGCAGAACATTGTTTTCGGCCCAGAAGCTGCAAGCTCTGAGGATGATCGCTACGCGATCGAAATGATCATTAGTGGAATTAAAATATTGATACCTGACAATATCTCTATTTATTTATCAAAATAAAAAGAAAGGTATCTACTTCACCAACAATCCAATTAATTGTAAGTACAATGTTTATTACTCAAACAAAACAATATAGAATATTATCTATCAGTTTTCTGTTCTTTTGATTCAGAACACATGAATGTTTTGTACCATTTCGTCCATTCCTCCTCCGACTTCTATCAGCTACACTTTCTTTCTAATTATCTAGATTATTTACACCGTAATTAATTGCATTTTTGTATTTGTGATGACTAATCATCTAGTCGTTTTTCATTCTTATTTTATTTTAGTGCCTTCAGGCAACTTAATTCATTATGTATCTACCAATATTAAATTCTACTTTGGAACAGTGTTTTAGAACCTTTTAATTAACGCCGTTTGCATATTGTACCGCGTTCAGTCGAAAAGGCAGAGGAAATTCACTTCGAACAAAGCGTTCGTCGTGTGCTGTAACTTTGCCAATTAGCTCGTAACTTCCCCAAGAGGCTGCCGCCAGGCTGGTATTTCGCTCCCTCTTTGCGGCTGCAGCAAGTCGCTTGCTTAATCACGGTTGTGCTGCTCGTAGCGTCTCGTGCGTCTCTCGAGGACAACACATCTGTAAACTGCATTTCCGACAAAAGGGGAACCGCGGAGAGGAATTAGTGCATTAGACGTTCGTTGTGAGCAATACTGCACAATGCGAGTCCCATTAACATTTGATTCTTCTTCGAATTCATTCCCATTCGAGTCAAGTCGATTCAATCCCAAGCTGTCTCAACTAGAGACGTATGGTGACACCACAAGTGTTTTCAGGCTTTCCTATTCATTAGAGGGATTATGTTTCTATGGAACAGTGTTTAAGAAAAATGAGTTACTTCTTCGAAGAGACATTAACTACCCACTTACTCTCGGAAATGAATATACATCATACATCAGAAACTATGTACGTAGTATACATATCGCAGAATAATTGTTACAATATTGTATGGCGTGTAGGTGGGACGAAAATGAACCCTTTTGCCAATGAGCATGTAATGGGAAATTTAAAATAACGAAATTACGTAGTAGAGAGTTTTTAACGGAGGAGAGTTGTAGCAATCGACGGCACTATCGATCTTCAACGCATGCGCAGTACGAATTCGCATCACTTTCGTACATCGGCGTTCGCTGAGAAGATCGAGATTGCAGTAGATTGCTGCAGCTATGCCATGCAAAATCTTCTTAATGTATAATTTTCCTCTGATTGGCGGGCAACACATTATGAAAATGGTCTGTGGCGGGTACGCGAGTTTAAACTAAATTTAAAACATCAAATATTCGGTTCTACAAAACTGCGCCGAATGACTTCGCTTGAACGCGTCATCGTGCTACTCTCGTAACCCCGTGTGCTTTATCAGATTTTGTTTCGTATCGAATGAGACCCGCAGTCGGGTCTTCTCACATTTATCTTTACTTTATGATCAGGGCTTGGATTCTTATGACCTAAACATTCTTTCAAAATTACTTAAATGTGAGGAAAATGATCCAAAAAGTTACTTAAAAAAAGAGAAAAATTACCTACGTCTTATAAAACACTTAAAATTAATATGAAAATGTTCATTTAATCAATGAATTTTACAATTTTAAATAAAATAACACATTATAATTCGTGCAACTAAAGCACTCCAAAGAGTTTTGTACAGTTATTAATGCGTGGCTTTGTCGCATTTACTTTTTATATAGAGCAAGTTTCTCTCAATAACAGCTAATAATAAACTTCTACATTTCAAGATTTATCATTGTAAGGTTATTCTTCTAGTATTCTCAACGTCATCTTCCCTTCGTTAGTGAAAACACCATTTAATTTAAAATCAATTTTTAAATGTAATTATGAAAGATACTAAGTTAATTTGAGGAATTGGTGTCATCGTGAAATATTGCAGGGGCACAAGGTGCCGGTATTTTTATTATAGAAACGGGTATTAGAAACTTCTCTAAGGAGGAAACAGCGTACTATTGTCGTACGATAGAATATTTTGTATTTCTGTGCACGTCAACTACAAACGTTCGGTAAGTATAGTGCGTGTTATGTCCCTGGAAGTGGCTGTGTTTCTCTGCTCGAACGGGAGATTCGGCGCCGACCTACACATCCATTTACTGGGTTTTCCTCTACAGGTAGCTCCCCTCAGCAAGCCACCGCTGAAGCCGGGACATGATCCAAGCTCCGACTGGCGTCCCAAGGTGAGCTAGAGGTGTGCATATAAGTGGTCATGTACTGGTCCGACATTCGTCAGGTATTGTTAGGAGAAATCACGAAAAATTCAAATCAGAGCAGCCGGTCGCTAGAAATTCT